AGAAGAAGAAGAAGAAGAAGAAGAAGAAGAAGAAGAAGAAGAAGAAGAAGAAGAAGAAGAAGAAGAAGAAGAAAAAAGAAGAAATCCTTCCAAGGATAAATATTCTAAACACCAGTAAGATAATGTTCTTTGATAAGATCCCCCCCTCCATGGATGCAATGGCATTCAAAGTATTTTAGAGACTATTGGTGCCACAAGCTAGTCCTTAGCATTGTTTTATTCCCCCATCCCCCAAAGAAATTCATTTTATAATTCTTCAAAATAAGGCAGCTCAAATTTTTGGCTGAATTCTCTGGTCTTCAACCATCCATTCAGGGAGTTAGATTTTTGTTTATTTGTTTGTGCTTCGCCTTGCTCAGTTGCTGTGGTGCAATAGGAAGGTGATTTTTGTGGCCAAAAAAAGAAAGCAAGCCTACAAAACCAACGCTCTGTGTTAACACAATCTAGGAGGAAAAACACCCACACCATCACATGGCCAAAATAAGTTGTGCTGACTTCCTCTGCATTTTTAAAATCTCTTCGTGACCAAGCTGGTTAACCTGAAATTACGTCTCCAGATGCTCGCCGTCCTGTACATCAAATAAACCCCACCAGATTCCCGCATCCTATTCATTGCAACAAAACATCGATTAAGAAATACATAACTCCACCATGGACTCAGCAGAAGGAACAAGTCTCCCCTCCCGCCCCCCCCACACCTCCAAGAAAGAATGGAAAGGAAATTGAAAAGAAGGACAAAAGTTACACACAAGCGACCGTTGGTCTTCGGATCATTTACTGTAGGGTTGAAGGTAAGAGTGGCACCTTGTATTCTTCCAAGGTTTTCCAATGCTATAATTCTATGCAGCTACAGCGACAGGTGGCCGAGTCACAAGAGAAAACCCAATTCAATATTTTGCATCAGATAAACAATGAATGATATATACAACAGGTGGACTGAGTTCGCCATTTTTTTTTTTTTTGAGGCCCAGAAGATCTCCGTTTTTAAATTTGGTTTCCTCTCTTGCACACTAACCTCGTGTTTCTTTTGTCGTCCCCCACCCACAAACAATTCTGGGTCTTTTTTTTTTAAAGAATAACCCCCCCCCCCCGAAAAGATTAAACCATACCATTGTTCTCGGCGTTTTGTTTTGTCAATTCCTTAATTCCTTCCCAGCTAGAACTGGCTTTAGGGTTTAACAGAGTGTGGTGTCCAAGACAGTGGAAACGTAAATTGTTTCTTTCTTTCTGAACACGCCTGAGATCGAGGGAATCTGATACATGTACCAAAAGGCACTTTCAAATATATATATACCTATATATATATATTTTAAAAACAGTGCTTCTGTTCTAAGAAATTCAAGTTAAGACAGAGTGCCTTTCACTCCCTTTAGTCATAAAGTGGTTAAAACAAGCAAATTCCCTGCTGACACATGAGGGTGGGGGTGGGGGAAACAATTAAAATAATAATAATAATAATAAAGGCAGCAGAGACACGTGTTCATGCCAGACAGCTCAATGTTCTTTAAAAAAAAGGAAGAAAAAGAAGAGAGAAAGGGGAAAAGAAAGAAACAAGAAACAGCAAAAGAAACACTCTAAGTCACCACTGAAAAGAATACAGTTGGGTGAAGATATTAATTAAAAAAAAGCTGCCTCTTTGAACAGGTCTTGATTCCTCTTCTGCTTTCTCTCTCTCTCTTTTTTTTGTTTTTTTGTTTTTGTTTAATTTGTTTTTGTTTTGTTTTGTTTTACTCCTTTCTTCTTCTTTCATCCACCTTGGGTTGCTTTCTCTCTCTCTCTCTCTCTCCTCTCTCCATCCTCTTCTTTCTAAATGCTATTAAGCTTTCCTCTTTTGTTTTTTGCAAAACAAGAAAAGTGAGGTCATTTTAATCATCCTCGCCACCCCCGTACATGTCCGCCAGTTTCTTGAACCTCGGTCCCCAGTCATTCAGGTAGTCGTAATCTTGGTCTCCGGAGCTTGAGGAGTTAAGTGAGCTTACCGACCCTGCTGTTGAACCACTTCCTTCATAGTCAAAGACGAGAAGGGAGTCGTAGGGAGGGGCTGTGGGGTCGTTATCGGCTGCTCTCAGGCCCTGGAACGTTTAAGAAGATGTTGCTGTAAAAAGGTTATCTTGGATGGAGGCAAGAAGCACGCAAGAACATCCTAACCAGGAGTGGGTTTCTGCCGGCATTACTGACAACATTAGAAAAGGGGGAAAAAAAATACATTTTTGCAATGAAGATTGTTCTGCGCATGCACAGAATTGAAAATCAAGATGGCGCCGCCGCTGATAGAACCGGTTCGGCGGCATGGCAGGCTGAGTTACTACCTACTCGGCCGAACTGGTAGGAAACCACCTCTGATCTTAACCTTGGTTGGATTGAGCGGTGCTACACAAATCTCAACTCTATGAACCGTTAAAGTGTCTTAAACTTAAACTTTCTACCGTGAACCTCACCCCATTCCTAAGGGGTCTGTAAGGGGGCATGCATAAGCACACTAGCATGCCTAATGTCCCTGTCCCACTGTTCCCATCTATTTGTACTCATTTCTTATGTATATCATGTTTTCCTGAAATAGCAATAGCAATAGCAGTTAGACTTATATACCGCTTCACAGGGCTTTCAGCCCTCTCTA